ACTTGTACCTGGAGTGAAGAGATGGCCACTTGTGGGGGGAGGAACCCAGGTCACATCGTGACTGCAAGAGCTGTTCATTACTGACATGCTGGCCCGCACTGGACATTGTCCTAAGGGCTCAGTTCGGTGTCCCTGCAGTTGCAGCAGTGGTGCTGGGTAGAAGAGACTTTGCCTCTGCCCAGTCGCTGCCTGCCAAGCCCCTCTCCGCCAGGCTGGAGGATGCATCCTCTCCTTCTCCGATTCTAGCACAGAGACAGATGAAGATTCTGAGTGTCACCATTTCAAAGCTGTCCCCCCGTCTAGCAGAATCTGTGCCTCTGCCTGGAAGGGGGATTCATCACCTCATGTTCAACTTGCAATGCCCCCCCCCACCATCTGCTACCACAGGTTATTTATTTGTTGCTTTTTTTTTTTTCTTACTCCACTATTGGTTGTAGAACTGGGGTCTGGGAAGGTATCTTTGGTCATTCTGAGCAGAAATGCAGTCACAGTAAAGGCTGTGGTCTGATGCCTGTGTTGTTTGGTGAGGAATCCTATATGGATCAGTAGAAATTTCCAGAATCTCCTTCCCCTGGACTCAGCGTGTGCATCCATCCTGCCCAGCGGCAGACATGGGTGACAGAGGCAGTTTTCGTGTCTCTGGTGCTCCAGGCAAATGCCCACTGCTCTCTTGGCTTTAGGACTGCAGCTCTATCTCCCACCCAATGCCACAGAGTTCCCATGAGTGAGCCCCAAGGCATCAGGCAGGTTGGCACCTCACCCTGGAGAGACTTGGAGTGTTGAGACAGCATTTTAATAAGTTGTTTAGGGCCTTGCTAAATTGTGAGCTGGCCTCCAACTTGTGGAGGCCTGGCAGAGAGGGGCTCGGTCCTCCTCTTTGTCTTAGCCTCCCAAATTGCTGTGTGTCACTGCGCCCAGCCAGATGAAGATTCTGAGGTTCAGAGAGGTGAGATGCTTTGCCCCAGGCTGATGACGGATAGAAATGAACTCTGATTTGGATCAAGATTTTCTGACTCCAGCTCCAATGCTCTTTCTTTTTCCTTTTTCTAATGGAGGAAAGGTCAAGGAAACCTGAATTTGCTCAGATCAGATGGACACTTCCCTTGGTATTTGACCCCAGGCTCTGCCTCTGCCACCACCTCAAGAGACAAGAGACCCTCCGGGAATTGCTGGGCCTTTGAGGGAAACTTCAGGGCTGCAAATGTTCACAGGTGTCCCAGGGATGACTGCCCTTGGGACAGAGGTCTGACCCCCAGAAGTTGACTCTCGTGGCTCACTATCATCTTTGCAGATAAACTGGAGCCATAGCATTTGAGAAAATCTCTGGGGCTTCCGTCAGGAGGTACTATAATGCCTCACCCCGGGGAACCCTGGCTGAGTTGGTGCTCCCCGAAGGTCTCAGGCAGAGGGGAGCTGCAGCTGGATCGCCTTGGCTCCCAAGAGCCAACTGTGAGCATCTCTCCCCAACTCTGCATTCAGTGACATGCATTGGCAGCTTGAGATCAGCCATGTGGGAGTATTGATGCCACGGGAATTGGCAGATGGTGCCCACCAGAGCTTCCCCTCTCCCAGCCCACGCCAGGGGCAGTTTACCTGCACAACACTGACAAGCAAGTTCCATCCGTGAATCAGAAATGAAATCATGGAAATGACGTCTTCATGACCAACTGACTGGGGCCCTGAAGCTACGTCTTGGTTTATTTTTAAAACAGGGTGTGGCCAAGGAGATTCTCTTCAAGAGATCCGAATGGTGTTTGGAATGCTGTGTCCTCTGGCATCTGCTTCAGTGGAAAGACAGAGACACACTGGCTTACAAAAGAGGGACAATTTGAAGGCTGTCTGTCCTAAGTCTCTTTGTCCAGTGGAGCTACAGAGGCCCCAGCTACCCAGGGCCCAAGTCCAGAGAGGGGAGATGTCACAGTCGAAGAGACAGCCAGGGTGGACTCACAGTCAATTCGGGAGACCTGGCAGCCCTGAGGTACTTAGGAGTGTCATTTGCTGACATTTACCAGAAGGCCAAGTGGCTGATCCGGTTGCACTTGCCTATGGTTTGAATATTTATTCCCTGCAAAACTCACGTTGAAATTCAATTGCCATCCTACCAGGATTCAGAGGTGGGAGGTGATTAGGTTGAGTGCTCTGCCCTCCTGGGTGGGAATGATACCATTAGAAAAGGATCAGCTCAGCCCCCTTTTCTCTCTTCTGCCTTCACTGGGCAGAGGACTAAGTGTCCCTCCCCCAGGGCACACAGCATGCCAGGCCCCATCTGGGAATGACGACTCCAAACCTTCCAGCACCCGGACATTGGACCTCCTGGTCTCTAGACTGAGCTAACACACTTCTGCTCTTTATAAATCACACAGTCTCTGGTTTTCTCTTCAAAACAGACCAACACACTCCCAGTCTGAGGCTCATGGGGAGCCTGTCAAACAGGTTCTATTCATGAGTCAGGAGACTGAGGCTCTGAGTGCAGGAAAAAGGGCGAGTCAGGCCCAAATCTGACTCCCACTGCTCTTCTCTCAGCTTTACCCCATCCTTGGGCCCTCGGGGTGCTGTCTTCAACCCTCCCTCCTGAGCAGTGGTGATGCTCACGACACGGTCCCTCCCAGGACAGGAACAAGGGGCGGCAATGACATCTGAGAAGGAGGTAAGAGAGGAGTGGTGGCCATCCTCAGTGACCACATACCATGCTGTAAGGGCACCACACGTGCCACCCCAGCAAAGAGCTGATGACTCTCAGGCTAGAGAGGTGAGGTGACTTGTCCAAGTTCACACAGGTCACATGTGGCAGGGCCAGGATTCAACCCTGGGTCTGTCTCCAAGCCTCTGTTCTATGGGCTCTAGGTCAGGAGTGCCAGGAGGGACCAGGAACCACAGGAACCAGGAGTCAGGGCTCTGGGCCTCAAGAGAAGCCTCTCCCCAAGCAGAGGAAGTGGACTTGGTCTCCTCTTTTTTTATTTTTTATTTACATGCTCTCTCCCTTCCCTTAGCTTCATTGCCCACATTTTCCTACCTGTCAGCTTGCTGCGTGGTGAAAATGTGAAGGTAGAAACAGCGTCAGACAGTGAGGAGACTGGGACCTGGAGCTCTGTGCATAGCCCTGGGGAAGTCATTGGACTTCTCTGGACCCTTGTTTCCTCCTCTGTAAAGTGGGCATTGGCAGGTGGTCCACTGACAAGAGGCCTTCCATAGGATTCTGGGACATGGACATCTCCCACAATGCCCTGTTCTTCTCATTCTCCACCTGCCCTGTCCCCCCTTGTGGGAGGACAGATGACCCGGTACAAGGCAGCAAGATCTGCTAACAAAGACAACACTAGCCCAGACAGTGCAGAGAAATCCACCCAAGGACTATGGGCACCACACGGTGCTCTGCAGAATAGAACTATTTCCTTGTTTCTGAAATGTTCCCCCATAACTAGGCTTTGAGTTATTTCCTAAAAGTACCCTGTGGCAGATAACTAGCCCTCTAAATGCCTTCATCCATCTTCCTCACTTCTGTAAAGAGGGAGAAGTCTTCACTCTTGTTTTGCATAACCTCAAGCACTGTCTTCCAACACTCTCTTCCTCAACTATTCCCCACCATAAACCCCTGCAGCAGCCCCAAAGCTACTCAGAGGACCCTGGAGGCCATGATGGAGAAGCAGGACTCCTTCCTCTTAACAGCACCAGCCAGAATCTCAGAATCAAAAGGGACCTCAGAGTCCACCTTGACCAACTTCTCTTCCAGTGCAATAGTCCCTCCTGATGTCCAGCCGTCTCTCCATGGAAACTTCCAGAGATTCTGGCCACTCACTGGAATGCCTGGAATTGTTCAGAAGTGCCTCCACATTCTGAACCCCGGTCTGCCTTCCTAGAGTTCCTAACGTGAGTACTAGTCCAGTCCTCTGAAGTGAAGCAGGAAAGGCCAATTCTCTTCTCCATGACAGCCTGGAAAATTCATGAAGGCAGCCAGTTTATGTCCCGGGTCATTCCAGGGTAAAAGGCGACCATTTCCGCAGTCGCAGCTTAGATGATGAGATTTCCAGAGCATCCCCTTGGATGCTCTCCAAGTTTCCACGTCCACCTTCAGGAGCATCTACAAGAACTGGATATGGCATGCTGAGAACAAAGGGATGGGGGTTGTTCCCTCCTCTCACGTAGCCACCATGTCCCACTTGGGTTACATAGCCAAAAAAAGAAACTAGCTACACAGCGGCCAAGCTGCACCCCCATTCATACTGAAATTTCTAGAATTTCTTTTCCCCCAATTGGGACTTACACAATTAACTACTGGAACCTAAGTAAGGCCCTTGACCTTGTAAAAGTTCAATCTTTCAGTTCCTTTATTAAGATCCTTTTCAAATTGTGCTCTACATATGTAAAATAAATTGTAATGCATTCTGCTGTCATATATAACAAACGAGAATAAAATTTTTTTAAAAAAAGATTCTTTTCTAGAGAGAAGTGATGGGAGGGAAGGGAGAGGATGGGGGGATAGGAAGGATAGTAGAATGAAACAGACATTATCATTACTGTGTGTATATATGTGACTGCATGACCAATATGATTCTGCAACCTGTACACTCAGAAAAATGAGAAATTAAAAATAAGAAAAATGAGAAATTATATCCCATCTGATTCAAATGTATGTCAAGGTCAAAAAAAAAAGTAACACTAGGGGACATGTTATTTAAAAAAAAGATCCTTTTCAATCCTGATATTTGGTCATCCAATCTTTTAACTCTTCCACCGAGCTTTGTACCAATTTTGAAGTCAAAATCCACATAGGACAAAATCTAGGGACAGAGCTCTGGTCAGGGCGCTATATGATCTCTTTCTCAGTTGACTCTGAGGCATTGGAAGTTAGTTACTGTTTCTCAACCATGCCTTCAGTCACTCTGAGAATAACAGCTGTTCCACATCTCAGAAAACTTTTTCAGGTCATTTCACCCCAAGCTCAGACAGGTCAGGGCTGTCATTCCTGCTGACACGTCTGCAATATGCCAAACGCCCACACAGGCAAGCCTTTGGTACATCCAAAATCACCTGTCACTAACGTCTCCAGTCTTCTACTGGGATCAGGGTGTAACGTTTCTATGTCACTCACCCTCTTCCTAGGGTGTCGAGGGTGAGTGACATCAGGGGTGAATGCGTGTGAAGAGATGCAGCCTCAAGGAAGGTGCCTTACGAGGAGGAGTTTCTAAACAGGGAGAGGCTGGGAGGAGCTTCCCACGTCTTTGTGTTACTTAAATTCTTTTCAGCTTTTTACCTTTTTGGTTTCTTTTGACCACCAACACCTTGTCTATCCTAATTTTGAAATTCCCTTTATGCCTGTAGACCTTATAAGGATGGGGACCGAGGGTACAGCCAGATGATGTGGATTTGGTGGGAAGGAGTCAAAAACCAAATGTCCTGAGTCCTAAAGTCCCTTCACAGTTGAACACCATGAGACAAGAGACTTAGGAGCTCAGATGGTGCCCACTGAGGCTGGGGCTGGGGGTAGGACAGACAGCCCTTCGTGAGCTTGAGTGTCTCTAACAGGGAGAGCTGCCCAGCTCACAGGCGGAGGAGGTATACCCTGAGCAAGTTACTTTACCTTTATTTCCACAACTACAAAATGATAATATTTACTTCACAGGGTTTTTTGTTATGAGGGTTCAGTAAAGCAATTCATTCAAATTTCCAGGAATAAGTTCCTTTCACATCCTCCCTAGGCAATGACTATTCCATTTTCATCTTTGTGAGGAGCAGCAACACAGTTTTTCCTCGTGGCTCTACAACTCCACATCCCTAGCAGCAATGCACACATGTTCTAGTTTCTCCACATCCTCTTTTTCATTGTGTTTTGTTCTTGTAGTTCTTACTGAGGTGCAGGATTGCTCTATGTATTCTCGATAGTAATCTCTTATACATGATTTGCAAATATTTTCTTCCACTCTATGAGTTACCTTTTCCCTTTTTTGTTAGTGTACCAATATACAAGTTTTTAATTTTGATGGTATCCAATTTATTTTTAGTCATCGATATTTTTGGTGTCATAGCCAAACAATCATTTGCCATGAAACGTTCCTTCTAAGATTTTTATAGTTTTAGTTGTTACACGGAGATTTTTCAACCATTTTGAGTAAATGGTTTTATATGACATAAGTTAATGATCCCACCGCATTTTTTATTTTTTATTTTTATTTTTTTGAAAAAAAAAATCTATCCAAAAGAAGGCCATAGGAATATAGGCACAATAAACTACTTTCAACCAAAGCAAAGTGACACCAATCTCATTCTTTTCCATGTGGATATTCCATTTTCCCGGCACCATTTATTGAAAAGACTGTCTTCCCATCGAATGATCTGGGAACATTTGTTGTAAATCATTTGACAGCGTGTGAGGGTCTGTCTAGGCTTTCTGTTCTACTCCAATAGTCTATATCTCTGTCTCTCAATGTCACTACTGAACTGTTTTGTTTACGTAGCTTTGCAATAAGTTTGAAATCAGGACGTACGATACCTCAATTTTATTCCTTTTTTTTTCTCAAGATACTCATGACCATTCTGGATCCCTTTAGATTCCATATGAATTTTAGAATGCATTTAAAAAAAATTTTTGCAGAAAATATCATTGTGATTTTGGTCTAAATTGTTATTAAATCAAGAGGTTGCTTTTGGTAGTATCAACATCTTAACATTATTAATTCTTTCAGTTTATGAATACACAGGATATATTTTCATTTTAAACTGCTTTCAGCAATATTTTGTACTTTCAGTGCACAAGTCTTTTACCTTCTTGGTTAAGTTAATTCCCAAGTATTTTATTCTTTTTAATGATATTGTAAATGATGTTATTAATTTCTTTTTTGAATTATTCATTGTTAGCATTTAGAAGTGCAATTGTTCTGATTTTTGTTGTGTTTTGATTTTGTGTCCTGCAATTGTGCTGACTTCTGCATTATTGTTTTCATTGCTTTTTTAGACTTTATTCTTATAAATGAGCCCCAGAGAATACTCTGAGCTACACATTCCTTTGTCCCCCAATGTTCATGTCCCAATCTCCCAAGAGTCCAAGGATTTCTCAATTGACAGGTAATCTTGCATCATCAGAGGTCAAGGGGCCAGTTCTAGAGTGGCTCCTTTGTCACTGTTACTGGCCTTCTACAGAAGGTCCTCTGTGAGGGTTTGCTTTGCACGAGGTCTGTAGCCTGGGGTCCACTCTTGTCTCTTCCCCTTACCAGTTTTGTGCTTGTGCAAAGCACTCAACTTCATTGAACTTGGAATTTCTTCACTGTCAAATAAAGAGGTCCATCTGTCTATATGTCCTCTAAGGTCTTTTGCAGCCCACCAATTACCATACACTAGATTATTTATCCGAGCTCTGTTTTCATCAGTACCTGCTGACTGAGGTATGGTCAATCATTTGCTAAAATAGTTCAGTTTTTATTCTAGAGAAACACCCACTGTACAGAGTGCATATGAAAAAGGTTTGCATTGTATGAATTATTTTCCCATTTGAAACCCAGAATCTCGCTCAAATGGCTTTCCAACCCATATTGTACTGAAGTATTCTGTTTGTTCCATTAACTATTCACAGAGTCAACTGGGGAACCATTGTTATTAATTTCAATGGAAAGCTAAAATGCAGTTCATTTTCTGTAATTGCAGGCCCACGGTCTAAAGAGCCAGCGAAAGCTTTTAATCTGAGGCTTTTTTAGAGGAGTATGATCAGAATTACATTGAACATCTTTTGAAGGTGCATAATTATCAAAACCTCAATGACATTGACATTCAAAGAGCCCTATACCATAGATGCTAAACTCACATGCAGGAGACAAGGCAAATTGCCATCTTAGTCACTCATGGATGGAGAAATGGCCATGGAACAATGTTCCAACGTCGACAATGTTTGCACACCTTACTTTTCTATCTTATTCCAACTATGTGGTTCTTCATACCACATGGAAGATGGATATGCCCACTCTTCTCTTCTATGTAAGTTTTATTGTGGCCTCAGAGATCCCACCCAGACACCTGCACAACCACCAGCTGCAAACACCAGGGAGCTGCAAGTAAGAGTGGCCACTCCATGTGACCACCAGAGGGCGCTAGAATGTGCCACAGCTAACCAGGACCTCCCTCAGCTAGGAACTGACCAATGGAGATTCTCCAGAGCTCCTAGAGTTCTGAGGCTCAGCTGCTCTTATCTGCCCGGAAAACAAAGAACTAACCAGTTGTCCCGTTTACCATCTTCTTCCACACTACTTAAGTATGGTCAGGGCCGTCCTCCTCCATTGGTCACAATTCCTCTACAGAATTAGGGGAGGCCAGGGGAATGACCCAGAGCAGAGACAGTGAGCCTGACTCCAGGAAATGCTTAACATCATCAACACCATGACTTTAACAGGCGGCCCAGAGTCTGAGAAACATGAGCCTGGGAAAGCACATTTGCTTTCATTCAAAACAGAAGAGCAGCCAGGTACAGTGGCACATGCCTGTAATTCAAGGGATTTGGAAGTCTGAGACAGGAGGATTACAAGTTCAAGGCCAGCCTGGGCAGCTTAGAGAGACCTTGTTTCAAAATAAAAATGAAAAGGGCTGGGGATATAACTCAGTGGTAGAATGCCTCCAGGTTCAACCAAATTTAATTAGTTAATTAATTAATGAATTAGAGTATGTTACAAACACACCACTGGACAAGCTGCTGAGACAGGAGAACACATGGATAAAGGAGGAGCCCAAAGGAACAGGGGTGTCAACCTGCCCTCCTTCAGCAACTGACAC